ATGTATTTATACTTGCTCCTGTATTTTTTACTTCATACATCTGATGAAGTGGGTTTTAGCCCACGAAAGCTTATGCCCAAATAAATTTGTTAGTCTCTAAGGTTCCACAAGGACTCCCCGGTTTTTTACTCCCCAATTTGTCACTTGCCAAATTGCATATTTAGTTTAAATCATGTTGTTTTCTTTTCACAATGTTCTGCCCAATTAGATTACATTTTTCAGGTTTGAGGTGTCCACAAAGGAGTCAGGGTTGCCTTCAAGGGGTGGCATAGGGGGGATAGACAGAGGTAGAACAGCTGGAAAAATTATCTAAGGCCTTAGCTGAGCAGGGGGCCTCGGTCCTCAGCCAGTCATTTAGGTTAGATATTTACTCGTGTTTATGGTGGTAAAGTGCATATCATAGCTCTAGGCATGACATGGATTTATTATTTTTCTGCCAAACTATTAATTCTGTCTAAGAATCACTGCATGTATTTATTTTTGCAAATCGAGGATGGTAAATGAGTGTTATCTGCTTGTAGCAAAGATTAAAAGCAAAATTAAACAAAAAAGTGACAGTCAAGAAGAGAAAAACCCATTAGATTTGGATAATGATCTGTGATGGAAAATCTGCTATTCCAGACTAACTAATGTTTGTTGTGTTTATGTGGCTTTGTTTTTGACTCTGTTTGCTTTATTTACCGGTATTTATATTTGTCAGGTTTATACTGTATATTGTGGGATTTGAAATTAAACACATTTATACTCTTTACTGTATCAAGGCCTAATAGACCAGTGGTTTTCCAACTGGGGGTCATGGAATGTAAGGCACTGATAGGGTTACCATATTGCAATAATGGAAAAAGAGGACACTCCAACTCTGCCCCTTCCCCAAAGTCCCCGCCCCCTCCCCTGAGCACCCCACATTCCCCCTCCTCCCCTCCCCTGAACGCTCCACCCCCCTGCTCCTCGCGAATCAAATGTTTGCGGGAAGCCTGAAACAGGCAGGCAGCAGGTAAGCTGGGGTGGCGGCGGCAGGGGGAGGGGGGGTGTGCGTGAGGAGGCGCGGCCCAGTCCGGCCGAGTGGCTCCCTCCGGCGGCCGGCGCCAGCCAAGAGGCTCTGGCTCCGGCCCGGGCCCTGGTTCCAGCCGAGTGCGCCGGCCCCGGCTGAGCGGCTCCGGCCCGGCCCCAGCAGCTCCGGCCCCAGCCCTAGCGACTCCAGCTCGGCTCGGGCCCTGGGGCACTGGCCCCGGCCAAGCGGCTCCGGCCCGGCCCGAGCGGTGCCGGCCAGTGGCCGAGCACCCCCAGCCCCGGTCCCAGCAGCTCCGGCCTGGCTCGGCTCGGGCCCCAGTTTCGGCCGAGCACCCCCGGCCCTAGCGGCTCCAGCCCGGACCTAAGCCCCATGACCCCAGCCGGAGCTCCTGGGCCCCGCTCTTGCTAAAGCCGGCCCTGATCGGGGGAGTTGTTAGTTTTGCTGCAGCCACTCCATTAGCACTCGGGGTCCCCCGAGCGTCTTTTGCCCAAGTGCGAGTGGCTGCAGCAAAACTAACAACCCCCCCGATCTGCGGGGGCAAAGAGGCGGCGGGCAGCATCTGAGCGCGCAGCCGCCTTCTCCCCGGGCTCCGGCTGCTGCTGCACTGGGGAAGTTGCTTCAGCCCCAGTGCATGGTGGAGAGCGGCGGGAGCCGGGAAAGTTGGAGCCCGGGGAGGAGGCGGTCCCCTTACCATGCCTCCCTATTTTCCCGGACATGTCCGGCTTTTTGGAAATTCCTCCTGGATGGGGATTTGAGGACCAAAAAGCCAGATATGTCCGGGAAAATCCAGACGTATGGTAACCCTAGTCACTGAGTTGCGGCGGCTCTGGTTGGCACCGCTGACTGGGCTGTTAAAAGTCCTGCCGGTGGTGCTGCCCGGCTAAGGTAGGCTAATCCCTATCTGTTCTGACACCGTGCTGTGCCCCGGAAGTGGCCAGCAGCAGGTCCGGCTCCTAGGCGGACCAGTGGGGGGAGAAGGGGAGGCACAGGCTCCGCGTGCTGCCCCCACCCCAAGCACCAACTCTGCGCTCCCATTGGCCGGGAACCAACCAATGGGAGCTCTGTGTGTGTGCGCGTGTGCCTGCGGATAAGAGCCACGTGGAACCGCTTGCGCACCTCCACCTAGGAGCCGAACCTGCTACTGGCCGCTTCTGGGGCACAGCGCAGTCCACGGTGCCAGGACAGGCAGGAAGCCTGCCTTAGCAACCCTGCTGTATGACCAGGAGTGGGCTGAGGTAAGCCCGTGCCCCAACCCTGCACCCCAATCCCCTGCCCTGAGCCCCCTCCTGCACCCCAAATCCCTCATCCCTGGCTGCACCCTAGAGCCTATACCCCCAGCTCAGAGCCCTGACCCCCTCCCACACCCCAACCCCCTGCCCCAGCCCTGAGCCCCCCCAAACCCAGAGCCCCCTTCTGCACCCCAAACCCCTCATCCCCAGCTCTGTTGGGTCGCAGGCATCAACAATTTTCTTCAATTGGGTTGCCAGAAAAAAAGTTTGAAAACCATTGTAATAGACTATAGTACCTCAATGACAGACTGAGTGTTAAGTATTTTAAGCCAAAAGAGATACTGTCTACTAGTTTAAGTCTAATAAAAAATATTTTACACCGCCTAGTTAAAATGCTTACATGATTTAAATAATCTAACTAAAAAAGTAATATTTTCTTTAGACATGAGTGCACTCTGCACTACTTGCAACCCAAACACTGAAATATTCTACTACATGACAATCAGAAACTAGAAATACTGTCATTGTCCAAGCTGAATTAAATGCAAAAACTGAATATCATAAATTTGTGATATTTAAAGTTTACAGTTTTAATAATCTAATCAATTAGTGACAGGTACATTTTTTAAAATAATGTCATTGATTATTATAAGTTGATTTTGTTAGTTTAATGCTATATTTATCTTAGAAAAGTGTAAGATGTTAGGTACTTTCATTTCTTCCTGGAGATGCAACAGTATATCTGATTTTAAAGATTACTGCTAAAGTACAAAGAGCAATACAGTGTGCTTCCATTTTAAATAGTTACAGTTTCAATGCAGTGCAATTTTTACTATTAATATTGCAGAATTGTAAACCCTGAATGACATACCTTCAAGTACTATTAACAATTGGACATAATATTCTACATCAGTAATAACAATTCAGCATCTATTTTAACTTAATGATATCAAATGTGCTACATAAAATGTGTTACAAAAATGCTAGATAAGTTTCCAAAGTTTAACACTGCTTTCTATATGGTATGAACACTCCAATAAGGATTTATAGAGGATCATAGTATGCAAATATGGAAAATATATTAAATTAAGTCCATGCTTCTGCAAGGAAAAGATAAAGCAGTCACAGTGGGCCAGTAGCACCATTATTGTTAAACAGTAAACCGATCTAAATCATCGCAGCCTTTAAAAAATAATCACGCTACGCTATATACAAGCTTAGTCCAAAGTACAGCAGAGTCGTCAAAACATCTGAGTGCCAGAAATTGGGACAGGAGGACAGGGGATGGATCACTCCCCAAATTGCCCTGTTCTGTTCATTCCCTCTGAAGCATCGGGCATCAGCCAATGTTGGAAGGCAATGGACCATTGGCCTGAACCAGTATGGCCATTCCTATGTTTTAAATATTTCACCATTATTCCATAATGGCCTAAAATACTGTTGTAACACTATTGTAAACTGTAGCTTTTGGGGCCTCAGAGAGAATACTGTAATTCCTCGCTTAATGTTGTAGTTATGTTCCTGAAAAATGCTACTTTAAACAAAACAATGTTAAGCAAATCCAGTTTCCCCATAAGAATTAATGTAAATGGGGAGGGGAGGTTCCAGGGAAATTGTTTTTGCCAGACAAAAGACTTTAAAACTTGTAATGTGTGTGTGTGTGTGTGTGTATATATATATATATAAACAAACAATTTAATACTGTACACAGCAATGATGATTGTGAAGCTTGGTTGGTGGTGGAATCAGAGGGTGGGATATTTCCCAGAGAATGCCTTGCTGCTAAATGTGAACTGTTAATGTAGCCTCACACTCTACAAGGCAGCACTAATGGAGGGAGGTGACAATAGATGCACAGCAGTGGCTGCAAACATTCCCTGTGGAAACTGAATGTGATGATGAACCCATTCTATCCCACTGGAGTGCACCATTCCCTCCACTTTCCTAAGTGCCTGGGGGATGCATGTGTGTGTGAGACAGAGACATGCACAGCCCCTTTAAGTACGCTGACACTACTCTAAGTACATTGACTTTGTAAGTAGATCAGCAAGTTGAAACAGCAGCTGCTGCCAGCAAGCTTACTCTGAGCCCTGTAGTGTCTCCCCCTGCTCTGGGGAGATGGGGTACAGGAGGAGGAGCAGGGGGAGGGGGACACCCTGACATCAGCACCCCTCTTCCCCCCCCCCCCACTCTCTGCACAGCAAGCAGGAGGCTCCCAGGAACAGCTCCAAGGCAGAGGGCAGGAGCAACACAGGGTGGGGGGGAAGGGACAGCTGAACTGCCCAGCAATTGATAGCCTGCTGGGCGGTTGCTGCACAGGGAACTTAGGGGGGCTGCCGGTCCACCCTGGTTCCAAGCCCCCACCAGCTGACTCCAACTGGCTGGAGTGGACAAAGTGGACAAAGTAGGCAGCTACCTAACCGGGAGGATATTAAGTGAGGAGTTACTGTATTTTATCAGCAACCTATAGTCCACTGCTATATATTGCAACAAACACTGACAGAAGAACTACACATGCTAATTTCTACACCCATTCAGTTTATTTGTAAAATCAAAGGAGGGGAAACCCATTCCGTTCTTCTGGGTTAAGAGAGCTGAATCAAAACGCCAAGGAGGTTGGTTTAAAGTTCCCAGACAGGGGAACTGTTGAAGCAGGGAACCAAAGAGCAGGCTGTCACCTCATCTCCTTTAGTCAGTGCAACTGGCTGAACGCACACACAGGGGGAGGAGCAGCCAACAGCCAGGGAGTGGGACGAGACTGGGCACTTGATCAAGGCTTTTTGGAATCCATGCCCAGGACACATTTGGGGGGAGGGGGCGCAGAGTGGATTTTCACGTGCCCAGGCTCAGCTTCGCAGCGCATTCACCAGGGGAGGTTGTGCCCACGGCCAGCCAAAGTCAGGAAATGTTGGTGAACTGAATCACACTCTCCAATACATAATAATCAGAGAGCAGGCAGCGCAGAGTGCCTGGGAGGAAAATGTCTGACTTACCCGCTGAGCCGCCGGCCGTGATCTGGTGAGAAGCCTCCTGCAAAAAGCCGCCCGGCTTCCTGGACATCTTCAGCTGCGCTGGGAAAGCAGCAGAGCGGTCAGTCCCGAAGTACCCGGCAGAGGCGGCCTTGGGGCAGAACTAGCGCCGGCCCCAGTGAGGGGAAAGAGCCCGAGACAGGGGGGTGGAGACCAGCCCCTGGCAGAGAGTGGCAGCTGGAAGGGCGAAGCGCGAGCGCCCCGCCACCCTGGGACTGTGGCTGGGCGGGAGGAGGAAGAGGCAGAGGGCGTGAGAGCGAAGAAAGAACCCAGCTGCACGTGCAGAGACCTGCCTATTGCGTGCGCTCTCCCCCCCCCCCCACCTTTATACCCAGTGGGCGGGGGGTTGGGGCAGCTACGGGCCAGATCCTGGGCCTAGAGCCGCTGCCCTGCCCCAAAAGGCAGGTCCCCTGTTGCTTTGCAGTCTGTAATTCAGGCCCTGCGGGTAGACTGAGAGGAAGCAAGTTTGGAGAGTGGAAAGGGGGAAGCCCTGTCACAAGGGGCAGGGAAGCAGGAGGTACAGTAACTCCTACTGAATGTGGTCCTGGTTAACTTGTTACATCACTGATCAATTAGAGAACATGCGGGTTTAAAGTTGTGCAATGCTCCCTTATACCGTTGTTTGGCAGCTGCCTGCTTTGTCCACTGCTTGCAGGAAGAGCAGCCCCTTGGAGCGAGCTGGTGGGGGCTGGGAACCAGGGTGGGCCGGCAGCCCTCCTGTCAGCTCCCCTAAGTTTACTGTGGGGCAGCTGCCCAGCAGGCTATCAATTGTGGGGTAGTTCAGGTGTCCCTCTCCCCCCCCCCCCACTGCCCTTTGCTGCTTTTGCCCTCTGCCTTGGAGCTGCTCCTGGGAGCCTTCTGCTTGCTGTGCAGGGGGTGAAGGGGAAGAGGGCAGGGCCGGCTTTAGGCCAATTCCACCAATTCCCCCGAATCGGGCCCCGCACCCAGGGCCAGAGCCGCCCAGAGTGGGGGGCAAGTGGCAGAGAATCCCTTCCCTGGCTAGAGGCGCCTTTTTAATTTTTACTCACCCGGCGGCGCTCCGGGTCTTTGGCGGCACTTTGGCAGCGGGTCCTTCGCTCACTCAGGGTCTTTGGCGGCACTTTGGCGGCGGGTCCTTCACTCGCTCCGGGTCTTTGGCAGCACTTTGGCGGCGGGTCCTTCAGTGCCGCCGAAGACCTGGAGCAAGTGAAGGACCTGCTGTCAAAGACTAGGAGCGCGAACCGGTGAGTACAAGCCCCACGTGTTTTTTTTACGTATTTTTTTTTTTAGTCATCCCTGTCGGGGCCCCATCGAAACTGTTTGAATCGGGCCCCGCACTTCCTAAAGCCGGCCCTGGAAGAGGGGTGCTGATGTCAGGGTGTCCCCCTTCTTCTGCCGTCCTATATCTCATCTCCCCAGAGTGGGCAAACGGACACTATAGGGCTCAGGACAAAGGGAGCTTGCTGGCAGGAGCTGCTGTTTCAACTTGCTGATCTACTTAAAAAGTAGATATACCCGATATAACGCGACTCAATATAACACGAATTCAGATATAATGTGGTAAAGCAGCCCTCGGGGGGGCTGTGCGCTCCAGCGGATCAAAGCAAGTTCGATATAACGCGGTTTCACCTATAACGCGGTAAGATTTTTTGGCTTCCGAGGACAGCGTTATATTGGGGTAGAGGTATATTTAGAGTGGGGTCAGCATACTTAAAGGGGTAATGTGCATATCTCTCTCTCTTTCACACACACACACACACACACACCGGCACTTTGGAAAGTGGAGGGAGTGGTGCGCTCCAGTGGGATAGAATGGGTTCATCATCACTGTTGTTTCCGCTGGGAATGTGTGCAGCCACTGCCATGCATCTATTGTGTCTCCTCCCTTCATTAGTGCTGCCTTGTAGAGTGTGAGGCTACATTAACAACAAGTTAACCCTTGAGGGCTCAGCCGAGTGCTAGTTCATCATTTAGCAGCAAGGCATTCCCTGGAAAATATCACACCCTCTTCCATCCTCTGACTCCATATATAAATGTCTTTTGTCTGGTGAAATTTTTTTCCCTGGAACTTAAACACCCCTCCCGCGCTTTACATTAATTCTTATGGGAAATTGGATTCGCTTAACATTGTTTCGCTTAAAGTAGCATTTTTCAGGAACATAACTACAACGTTAAGCAAGGAGTTACTGTATAGGCAGCAGCCCCAGGGATGGTGATAGGACAGAGCATCCTAGTAGCCAGTGTAGGAGAAAACAGAAAGGGCCTCCAGGTTGCTCATCACTCAAACCCCATCAACTGAGCCAGCTCCCCTGCTCTTCTTACCCATCCCACCCCTTTGTGCCAACTCCCTTGCTATCCCCAGCACCCTCCTCAGATCTCTAATCCCCAAATAACTCCCTGCTCCCTGGCTGCCCCCAACAATCTGCCCACCCACCGACACCCACATCTGGCTGCCTCACCCCCTTTCTCCTCCAGTTGACCCCCATGCTTCTTATAACCCTCCTACAGTTCCCTTATCTTGCCCACATCCCATAGCTCCCCTCTCCTGGGCTAGACATGGACCCCTCAGGCTTTCATACCCACAGAGCCACACAAGCCAACCAACACCTAATTTCCTCCTGATGACCCTTGACCCAATTTCTTATGCACCTTTGACTCTTCAGAAGGGAGAGGCAGTGGCTTTTGTTTTCTGGGAATGTCTGTCTAACCTCCCGTCTCCCACCTTTAGCTAGGTGATACCAAACCTCTTCCTCTAGTCTCTACCAGCTCAGGAGTCAGGCCTGGCAGGGCTCCTATATCCTGTACTTGTTTCAGATACACAAGTTGCACCTTCAGGTAGTTTTAAATGATGTTCAGTTATTTCAGCATACAAGCATCTGCAAGGTCCAAACTGCATATATCCAGTCACTCTCTTCCAAAAAACAGAACAAAAGAAACAAAAAACAAATGTATGATTATCCTTACGGACACTGAGAATTTTCTTTTGCCACATGGAAATTGAGCTGTCTGTCCACCATGATAGGCCTCAGCCCTCTAATTTTTTTAAGGATCAGGAGGTACATATTCATAGACTTGATGCCTTTCTTTTCCAGGAGGGATTGGATTTCCTGAAATTTCTTACTGATTCTGTTGATCTCAAAGGCACTCTTGAACATAGCTCAGATGGTGAATTTGGTGGAATTTCTTTTAATTGAATTCTGTAACCTCCCTTGGTAAAGCTGAGGGACCATTTATCCAAGGTGACTAGGAACCAGGGCCGGCTCTGGCTTTTTTGCCGCCCCAGGCCAGGGGGAGGGCGCCGGGGGGAGGGCGGCCGGAGCCCTGGGAGGAGGGCGGCGAGCCCCGGCCGGGGCTCCACTCTCCCCCCGGCGGCCAGAGCGCCGGGGGCAGGGCGGCGAGAGCGGGCCGGGGCCCCGCCCGGGCTCGCCGCTCGCCCCCTGGCGGCCGGGGGGAGGGTGCCGGGGGGGAGGGCAGCGAGCCCGGCCGTGGTCCCGCTCTCTCCGGCGGCCGGAGCGCCGCGCCGCCCCCCTCCAGGTGCCGCCCCAAGCACAAGCTTGGTGGGCTGGTGCCAGGAGCCAGCACTGCTAGGAACCATCTGGGATAAAAAGCTTCTTATTTTCCTTCCATGAGGGATACCCTCCAAACTGGATACCAACTGGCTATTTATTCTTTACCCTTTAAAAAGCCAGAGGTTTTTGTTTCTTGGAATTAGGGATTTAGGAGGCCCTTTTGGATTATCTGAAAGGGTTGATGAACACTTTAAACATGAGTGTCCTGAATACAGAGGTCTAGGTTGGCTGGTGGCTTCCGGTGAAAGGACTAGATGACAGACATGAGGGAATGAAGGATGGCTTTTGTCTCCTTCACTTTGAAGCTCTTAACTTCTCCCTCAAAAGATGCTCGCCATCATACAACAGGAACCCTAGCTTCTGCTGAACCTCTTGACAACAGAAAATATTTGTAGCCATGTGTGTCTGCATGCTCTTGCATCCCAGCCACCAAAGACCATCTGAACCTTAGTGCCAAGTCATCTCCAAGCCAAAACAGATCATATTTTTAAATTCTGCCTGCTTTCTTTTTGGGTAGAATTCAGTGAATTTGTGAGCTGTTTTCCGTATTCTGAACTGGTATTTACCCTTGTATAACTCAATAGATTGGTGTCAAAGTGGGTGGTACTAATACAGTGTTTCATATACCTCCTGGTGCTCTGATATGTTCATTCAGGTCTTTTGACTTTAAGGCCTTACAAACCAATTTCTTGTCATAATTATGTGACACACTAATAAAAGGGCAAGGGAGCTTTTAGGTGCTTGCCCAGAGATCTGCCAGGCCACAGTGACTTATAGGGTGAAATTCTGTGTGAAGTCAGTGCCATTGATTTCAGTAAGGCCAGTCTTTCATCCAAAGCATTTAGATCCAGTCACTGCAGCCTCCTTTGATACACTGAGCCAAACACTGGTCCTTTTAGCCTGCAGTGAATGTCACCACACATGGGGGAGTTTTTGAAGTCACTGTGATGTTTCTTCTCTTCCTTTTTAGCAGGATTTTGGAAGACATGTCTTATGTATAATTCCTTAGCCAAGTTTTAGGGAAAACTAGATTATTTTAAAGAGAAAACGTTCACATAAGAGGACTAAGGCACCAAAACTTCATTGAGTAAGTGTGAATAAGAAGTGTGTAACAATAAACAATGTAGTCACCCAACAGAAAATAAAGAACTGATGATTGGAGATATTTGGGAGTTGCCATGGGCTGTGGTAGCATGTGACGCTCTTGCAGGAGATAATGACATTAGACTACTTTAAAATGTGAGAGTTAGGATCAGTCTGCTGCTAAGAATATGGGCCCAAGTCTGGGGTTAAATGAAATCTGGTGGCTTTGGAGAAAATAAATAACTTTTCTTCTCCCTTCTTATCTGGAATGATTCTCTGGGTGTACAATCTGATAAATATATTTAAAGTGAAAAGTGTAATATTTTTAATAATGATAACTATTTCTCTACCTCATAGGGGTGTTGTGAGGATGAATACTTTAAAGACTGTGAGGTGCCCAGAAACTGTGGCAATAGGGCAATATAAGTAC